CATGCATTCATTTTGAGCCCACACCTCCACCCCACGCAACCAACGGAACAAAAATGACAGGATAATAATGATAGAACAGAGCTTCTGGGCAAGAGAATAATGCCATTGACATAGTGCTATAATTGTAATTTTATCCGACATTTAATAAAGAGGTGGACTCAGTACAAAAAAAGAAGAAGTAGAGAGATAAACAGCTACCTTTCCTTTTTTGCATTTCATCTCTACAACCGATGCTTTTTTTCTAATGCCCAAGACCTACAGCCCTGGCTGTCCATGTTTAATCAGAAGTAAGTCCCAGTTCGTTCCCTGTGACCTACTTATGTGTAATTGTGCACAAAGGCTGTAGCCTTAAACTATGCATTGTTGAAGCTGGAAATTATTTTCTCCAGAATTTCAATTCCTTCTTGAAAGTCCAACAAAAGTGCTTTTTTGGGGGGGGGCAGGGGGAAAACATGTTTCTAGCCCACATTATATTAATAATAAATTTCAGAAGATGAGGGCAGTGTGGGAAAGACAGAGGCACGCAGGAGTGGTATCACTTACAGTATGATATTCTCCCAATCTAAGAATTTCCTGAACCAATGATATAATTTTAAGGGTCAGAATAAAGATCTCAGCAAGGCAAGCCCAAGACATTTTGATGTATGAGGCAAAGGATAAAATGATGATCCACATACTGCTCCACATGCAGAAAGTGGCTGGACTGAAAGTTCACTCTTACTCCAGTACTGACAACAGGACAGCGTCCTCCACCACATCTTGGGGAACCAGGCGACCTTCAGGGGCACAGAGCACCGTCCTGCAATGGAGGGGGGGCTTAGGGGCTCAGGAGGAATGGCAGGAGGGTTGCCATGGCTGCTCTGCCTCGCCCCAGCATCTGCAGCCGGAGGAAGCCCATCATAGCGGCAGTATTTGGAGTTAAGAAGAGCATTGCCAGGAGGTACTCAATGCTAAGTATGCTCATTCATGTACATAATCCAAGCTAATAGGTTCATTAACTTCAGTGGGTCTAATAACTTTTTTATTCAAAATTAAAACATATTATCCAGAAACATATCATCCTTATTTCCCCCCCCATTTTTCCTCCCTCCCCCCACAGAACCCACCCACCCCCACCCCACGACTCCCCTCAGTTCCAGTCTTTGATTTCTCTAAAAATGCTATTTTCTGCATGTTACACAGTTGTATAGATCCTCAAACTACCGGTATTTAGCTGATTATTATCAATAAAAAGTTTGTGAATGTTTATTCAAAACCAACCCAGGAGTCCAGTTCACTTTGTTGCGTCTTCAATTACTTTGTAAAGGGTTCCCATTCATCTTTAAAGTCACAGTTATCCTTGCCCCATAGCTTATATGTCAGTTCTGCCAAATTCCATCAATTTTTCTTGCCATGATTCTTTAGTTGGGGTTTCTTCAGTCTTGCATCCTTGTGCTATTAGGACTCTCACGGCCGTTGTCGCATACATGAAGATGCGCGTTCTGGGGGGCCCGCCGCGATGACACCCTACTGGAATAGTGGTGCCGGGGGCGGTCCGCTCCCTCCGCACTCCCGTTCCTCCGCACATGGAGAGTCTCTGGCAGTCAGGGTGGGCAGTACTGAACTAGATTCGGCATACGGCCTATTCATCCAATGTGCTTTCCATTTGCTGTCCTTTCTCTGCCCCTTCCCTCTGAGAGTGTGGCTGTTAGTGCAGTATGATGGGGTGGGGGAGGCTTGAAACCCTTTTCAGTGCTATCCAGGCAAAACGAAGAATCCGTAAGGGTGACTAAGCTTTTTAAAAACAAGCCTTCTTAATTTGCAGTCAAACTACTTTTTATATAATTAGTCACTTTGGTCTAATTAATTGTTCAACTTATCCACTTACCTCAGCCTTACTGTTCATTGTTCATGAGGCTTACCAGTCGGTGCGATATTGAATCAGTTAATTAAAATGCAGAAGCAGAAATCTAACCCAAATTTCTATTTGGCAAATGAAAGTGGGAGCAAAGGATAGTTACATAATTTATCTTAGTTACCGAAAGTTTATGGAAACTTACAAAGCACACCTGCTTCACAAATAAAGTGTGATAACTGGGAGTTGGGAGAGCAGGACAGCTCTTTTGGGCCTCAGGCAAGGAGCCTACCAAAGGCTCACCCACATGTGACATTCCTTCACATTTGCAGGGATCCCCTCCTTTACTGGAAAGACCTCTTGCCATTTGCATCTCTGAAAGATTTCCTAGGGGCATTTCCACCCATGCATGGTAGAAAAAAAATTCAGTTGACAGACTTTCCCATTTTGTGACTTTTTTAAAAACACACTGACAGTACATAGAAATTAGGGTAACCAAAAATTAAAATAAAATCAAAACATCCAATCCATCATTGACATTATTATTCACAATTCATCTTATTTCTCATTCATTAAAGACAGAGACAGGTACAGTAAGCAGAGGCACTAGACAGAACACACCAACTCTCAGGTAAACAAAAAACCTGCCAAAACATTTAAATTTTTTGCATATGGCAAAACAACACAAGAGAGGAGGCTCAGGAATACAGATGTGGATACAGAGAAGGGCACAGCATTTAATTAACATCAACTCTAGCAGCTAATTGCCAACATTTTGATTCTGTTATTCCAATAAGATATATATTTATTTCTACCAGCATTATAACAGAACTGTTTTAGTTTTTTCACGCTCACCAAAGTTTCTTGCCAAACATTTTGTGTCTTCTAGTGAAAAGAGTTGGGTTTTTTTCCCCACATTCTTTGCTGCTACAGTACTCACTATAATTATAATATTACTATCTACCATTTCAGGAAATTAAGTTGGTAGTAGCATCCCAAGTCCCACCCTCCAATAACATCCTTTTACTGATATTTTTTTTCTAAATATGTGGATGCCTTATTCACATATTACTTTTTAATTATTTCTTCTAAGTCTGCAAGCATTTGTGGCACTCAATGCTCCAAAATTTCAGTCATACTCACAGGAGCTTTTATCCAGACTTTCCATTGACAGACACATTAAACAGGGAACAAGGAAACCACACACTGCAAGGCAACAGATGCAATCTCCTAAAGTTCCTTCGAATTGCATCCCTAGGCAACAATGTACATCACCAAAGAACAATGGGTGGACATGTGTCAAAAATTCAGCAAAGATTTTCTTGTTGTCTTTATCTCAATTACCCATTACTTTGCCTTGTGTAGTGCCTTGCCCTGGGCCCAGCCCTGAAGTTAGCTTTGGCAATCATCTTTGGTGTTGTGGTATTTAGACAACCATGCCTTCACTTGGGGACTGGGTAAGTCAGAAAGTAGCAATGATGCCATTACGTAGTGGAATCTAGAGACAATGTTTTCTTACCAGACCTTGTTCAATGAATGCTAAGATGCTCAAGAGGTCCAGAGGGTTGCAACATAAGAACAGGGCCTTCTCTGCAGTGGCCCCATGGAAGTTCACCATTATACAACTTTAGGTGGCAGGCAAAAACGTTCCACTTTAACCAGGCCTTTGGTTTATCTTATTGACATCCAATACCCTTTTAGAATGTGGTTCTTTTGGGGTTTTTTAAGTGGGTTATTGTTTTTGTTTTGATTTTATATGTTGTGGTCTTGTTTGTGAACTGCCTTGAGACCTCTGGGTATAGGGCGGTGTATAAATTGAATAAACAACAACAACTACCCCTATTTCTGCAAACATGGCTCAATGTCCCTGAAGGCCAACCTTTCTTCTTTAGCTGTGCACTCACAAGCTCCCGAAGCTTGGCAAATGTCAGTGGTAAGTCACACTCGCTTTGTACTGCTCTGATCATGTCTTGCTTAAAGTCTTCCCCCAGGCATCTGGTTGGCCCCTGTGAGAACAGGATGCTGGACTAGATGGGCCATTGATAGTCACACGTTACTTCTCATTTTTTCAGATGCC